GGGAATGAAGGAGGCATAATCGACAATGCCACAAAAGAATCCTATCTCTTAGAGAGGATTTACTAACAGCTTGAAGACTATGATTATCCTTAGTTTGCAAACCTCTTGTTCCTTCCAAAAAATACAACCCTCCTTTCTCTCTACCAGTGCTAATCGTCATCTTCGTTAGATTGTCCCGGAACACACAATTAGTAGGTGAGAATATGACAGAGCAATAAAGATGCTTTGTAATTTTGCTAATAGATAAGAGATTAGTAGTAGGTGCAAGTAGAATGGATGAGAGTGAGAAAGTAGATGAGAACAAAACATTTTCGGCCCCAGTAATTTTGACAGGAGTCCCATTAGCCATCTGAACAAACTGAATAGGCGAAATAGTCAAGGAATCAAATATAGAAGGATTACGGGTAAAATGATCGGTAGCTCCAGAATTTATAACCCAAGAATCAGATACGGTAGAAGTGAATTGCAACCCAAAAGTACCTTCCCCTGAAGATGAACGAGCAACATGGGAAGCTATAGGTGAAGGTATATGAGTAGAAGCAGTGGATGAATGCGTAACTTGAGAGTATCTTCCACCCTTCTTCTCTATCCTTTTTGCTAAATACCAGTCTGGATAGCTATTTTTCTTGAAGCATTTGTCAGCAGTATACCCTTTAAAGTGACAGAATGAGCAGGTTTCAGTGAACGGAATTGGGGCTCATGATCGAGGATTGAAACCTTTTGCTGCCAATGCAGATGTCTCGGAATGGCTTTCGGCCCTCATGGTGAGTTGTCTCTGTTCCTCACGACGAACAATCGAGAACACCTCTTCCAAGCTTGGAAGGGGTGTAGTAGCCAAAATACGAATACGCACTTGATCCAAGCGGTGATCGAGTCCCGCCAAAAACATATAAATCTTGTGTTCAGCACACCTTTCTTTTAATGCATTAACATCCACGACACACTTCATAGGATTGGGTCTGCGATAGTCAAGCTCCAAGAAAATGGAGTTCATTTCAGTGCAGTATGTGACAAGAGGCCGCCCTTCTTGCCGCAGCTGAAAGGATTTCTTCATAAGTTCATAAACTTGTGACGAATCAGAGACATCAAATTAACTTCTCTTAACTGCATCCCACACATCTTTAACTGTGTCAAACTGAACAAAGTGGGCCACAAGAGCATCCGTCATAGAGTTGATAAGCCAAGACTTAACAATAGCATAATCTGACGCCCATTCACCATGGTTACTATCACTCTCTTTTAGCACAGTTAGTTCACCAAAAAATGTGGGTTCTTTTCTTACGGCCCGTAATATGCATCTCCAGTAATTTTGACCACACACGATAGATAGTACCATCTAACTTAATATGAATCGGAGATAATGTCTCATGAATTAACGATGTAACCACCTTGTTATCAGTCATTACGCCGAAGTTTGTGTCACGAAGGAATCACCAAGACAACATCACGAATTCAATTGATACAGAAAAATAGCTTGTAAAGATACCAAGCTAGGTCACACTTTTCTCCCTGTGCAATATCGCACACTGCAATTCCCCAAAAAACAGTAACAGCACCAAAAAGTCTTTGATGCTTAACTGAGTCTGTGATAAACCCAGAAAAAGAAAAGAAAAAAAAAACTGCAATGGATGAGTTACCAGAGTCGAGCCAAACTACTTCCCAGCAGCCACACCAACCGACAAGATCAACCCTACAACCATGTATTCGGTCAAGTCTGAATAGTGGAGTAATGCACAAATGGCCGCCGGAATCCGCGAACAAGAAGCGGACACGGCGGAAGCAGCGAACAGAAAAAAAGAAAAAGAAAACGGTAGTGGAGGTTTGCCGGAATCAGCGAACAGAAAACGGGAGTTGGAAGCAGACGCAGCCAGCAGTCGACGACGTCGTTGGCGTCTGGGTAACGGGAAGAAGCCGACTAGGGTTCGATTTCTACACGCTCTGATACCAAGTCGATTTTGGGAGAGAGAAATTCTAATTATTATTTATATTTTACTAAACTATATACAAGGGTTAAAAAAGGGGAAATTACAACTTAGTCCCTAACAATTACAAATATTACAAGTTGGTATATCTACATATATATTTCAACTCAAATAATTCATACAGAATGGAACCTCCTTGGTCTTCTCAAAATTAATAATTTTAAGAACTAAGTAATCAAATGTTTATGCAACATCATTTTTCAGCAAGATGACATTCACGTGCATTCTTTAGTAAACTCACAATGAAGACATTAACTAATACCTCGAAGGCTTAAGCTCACATAACACGGGACTTGAGCTTGCGATTTCTCGTCCCAGAATCTCTGATTTCTCCACTTGAATTGCACCTCATTAGCTAAGGTAAATTTTCAGTGTGTTGTATACCAGAGAGAATTATAGAGCTTGTTTGGTAGAGATTTTGGGGGAAGAATTGATTTTTGAATAGTGATATGATGGGGAATGTGTGGTTGAAAAAGAAGAAAAAAGTATTGATGTGATGGAAAATATTATTTTATTGAAGAATGTGTGGTTGAAAATGAGAATTGATTTACTGTAGAAAAGGAGAATTGTTACCAAACAGGTTAAAAAACAAACACCCCCATAGTATTTTCACATTTGTATGCTTTTCTGATGTTCATTACTTAACATGAAATGATATGATCATGAATGAACGTTTATAGTGATAACTAAGATAAAGCCTGACCAATAAAGGAAGTTACATGGGGCTGCTTGTTAATTCAATGTATGTTTACTTTGCATAAAACTTATCCAGGTATTTCTAATCTAGAGTAATAAATGAAACCTAAGAAGGATTATCACAATAGGAAATTGGCTATTTTTCTTTATCTAGCACCTGATCCAAACATGCTGACAGAGACTCGTTGGTCTCGCAAGAAATTTAAAATGTTCATTGTGCTGTTTACCGAATAATTCTCTTTCATTACCTCAAGAACCTATTCTCGTTGCATTTTTAGGCTGTAGACATATGAGAGCTCTTCTGCATGTTATATGGAACTAAAAGGATTCCCCCCCCCCACCCCCCCCCCCCCCCCCCCCCCCCCCCCACCCCCCCTCCCCCCCCCCCCTCTCCCTCCCTCCACATTTGATTGTGGTGAGCTCTGTTAATAACTTTTTGCCTTTTGATGCAGAGTTTGGATTACTTTGCCCCAGTAAATGACACAGGTTTGCTTCTATCCTACTAATATATTCGCACACACATGCTTCAATATAAGGAAAAAAATGAAAAGAAAGACTCATTGGGAATTGTTTCGCTACTCTTGATGTGGATAAAGAAGCTGTGGATGTAATATTAGGAAAGACACTTTATAAGCTGAATGTTTTGGAAGGTCTCTGGACATTCTTCTGAGGCTTCTCCTTTTCATTCAGGCCCCATAAATTCTTTATGGGTATTGACTAATACTCCGAGTATCTGTTGAATTCTTTTGGGTCCTTAGCTTTGCTTTTGTAGAGAGTTCCCCCTTATCCTTCGGTGTTTATGCTGTCCATGATATGTTTATGTGGATTACTTAAGCTTGATTCTTCATAATCTTTGGGCTTTCAGAGTTTCTAAATGTCGATGATGAGGAATTAGCTGAAATAGCAGATGATTATATGCCTCATGCTGAAGAGTCTCGCTTAACTGAGAACAGTGGGTGGTCTTCACGTACAAGGTTTGGTATTCTGCTGCTTAACTTTTTATGAATGTGTATATACATCTCCTGGCATTCAAGAAGTTAGTTATGTTGGCTATTGTTTACATGAATTAGTGCCAAAATTGCAGCCTTCTGCTGCATAGCAAGAAATGAATGGATAAGGTAGCCAAATAACAATTGATTTAGTTTATAAAAGAGATCCCCCAACTCCTCCTTCATTCCTCTGTTAGTCCCATCTTGTATTTTGTAAATAGTACCCCTGGTTGCTTTGTTTGAGTTTGAGGATTTTGGTTTGTGCGGAGTTCTGAAAATTGGAGTAGAAATGTTTCAATTGTTTGATTTGCGCATCATTCTGACAATTGTTCTTCAATTAGTACATCTGTTGCTTCTACAGTAGCAGAATGTTTTCTCCCAGCTATTGTTACGTCACATATTTTTGTCAGGATTTTCTTCCTTTCAGAAGATAAGTATTTATCATCAAAATCATCATTTTTCATAAATGTTTGATATTTTATATCTTATAGGGCTGTTTCCAAGTATCTTCAAACCTTGTTTGAGAAGGAGGCAGATTGTGGAAGGAAGTCACTTTCCATGGACAACATGTTAATTGGTAAAACGCGCAAGGAAGCATCAAGGATGTTTTTCGAAGCATTGGTATGTTAAAAACTCTCTTGCTCATTTATTGGTACTGTTTCATTCATCATTAAACCCTTGTTTGACATTCTTTTTTTTTCTCTTTTTTCATTTCAACCACACATTCTATCAATAAAATAATATTACACAAACTCAAAAATTTTCCTTAGTTTTTAAACACACATTCTTCTATCAATCACTATTCCAAATCAAATTCTTCTCCAAAATGGGTGTCAAACAAGGGCTAAATTTGAAGAAAGATTGCACCATCATTGATGTACTTGGATTTCAATTGGTTAGTTTTTGTCGACAACTCTAGAGAACTCCAGCAGTAGGGAGAAAGTGATAGATTTCTGGGAGTATTGAAGGGAACATTTTTTTATACTAATTATAGTTTTGATTTTATCTTTTCTTTTTTGGGTGATGCTAATGAGAAATGCACATGGGCTAGAACTGGTCACTTGTCAGTTGCATTTTGTTGAATGGGTCTGAAAAAATAAGTTAAAAGATCGTTGGCAATGTATTTGCAAAACTTGAGAAGACATTACTCTCTCTCTCACACAATTTACGGATAATATACTTGGAAGTAAAACCATCCTGAAAATGATGACATTTTTGTAGATTCTTAGTTTTACATTATCTTTTCTAACTACGAAATGATATGATTACTAATAGTCTTTGCTTCTACAAATTTTCTTTTGAATTGCATTTTTTTCTTTTTCATCGAATGTTTTGACGCCGGTTCATTTTGCAATTCATTTTTGACATGAAACCTTGCAGGTGCTCAAGACAAGAGACTATATCCATGTAGAACAGAGAAACCCTGTTGATGACATTACCATTAAACCTCGAATGAAGCTGATGAAATCAAACTTCTAGAATACTGACACTAGAGCAGAACTTGGTTTATGCATGTGGAGATTAGATTTCTTATTTCTAAGTAAATGCTATTAAAGTTCATAGTCAAGAAATCAGGTAGTCATAATTGTAACTGGTAACTGGTAGATTGTTTCTAGTTATTGTACAAATATGTTGTATAACACTCTTCTTATTTATACATGTATAGCATGAAGATACTAAAATCTATGTTGCAAATGGAGCTAATTATTCCTCTGTTCCTGCTTTTGTAAGTTAAGATTTGCCTTACTCAAAATTTCACCTTGCTTAGCAAGCCAGAGAAGTTTTGTTTCCCCATTGTATATATATGTTGTGATTTGTGATTGCAGGCCAAAAACTTTGCATATGGTGCTTGATTATGTTTGGGGCTATTTGTGTTGATTATTGTAATGCCTAACCCTCCAAGAGCTGAATCCTAAGTAAAAGATTCGGAATAAGCTTTTAATGATATGTCAATTTTAGTGCTAGTTTCGTCACTTCACAGATTTCAGTTTCACTTTTGGGCTCCAAAATGAACGGGGCATGCTCGAAATTATGGGCCTTATAACATAAGTCACAAACAAGAGCAGGTTCTTAATTATGAAAATTACGCCATTCTCTACTTTTGGAGATTTAAATTTTAAAATCAGATTTTAAGTTTTAAAAATCAGATATTTTATATATAGATACAGGTTTTTTATATTTAATTAAATATTAATAATAATATTATAAAGTAAATATTTTTACTAAATATATATACTCCAAATCCTAATTAATTCACTCCTCTCTCTCTCTCTCTCTCCATCCTCTCTCTACAAGCCGCCGCCTCCCTTCATTCTCTTCCTACACCAACCTTCCCCGGCAGTCCAGCACCACAACTCCAGCTTTGAGGTTTGGTGTAATGTCCCGAAAAATTTCATAGAATAAAATTTATTGGTTCTATATAATAATTTATATTTTGATAGTTGAGGGATTAAATAGTTATTGTAAAGTCCCAAAATTTTTATAAAATAGAATTTATTTATTCTATGTGCTACATTTTAATATCTTGGGAAGTGATGGACTAATTTGGGCCAAATATTTAAATGTTGATAGAGTGATGATAAATATATCAATATTGTACTCGTTAAATAGCTTGTAATTAACTATGCATAATGGGCTTGAGAAAATGTTAATTCGGACAAACGAGTGTCAAGTTATTGAGGTTGAAAGATATCGCTTTTAATTGTAATTAATTAGATTATCAATTGAGGTGGAATCAGAAGTGACACGGTAAATTAATTGTTTTTTTAAAAAAAAAATTTGTATAATATAATAATAGAAATTGAAAGGCATCACGTGTGGTAGGAAAGATGTTGATTGCCTTGATCCTTGTCCATTAGTGTACCAATTAACCTTATTTTAATGCTTTGACTGAGTAGTTGTCAGTCAATATTATTTTAATATTATTCTTTTACCTTAATTTTGGGAATTTATGGAGGTAGATTCCACGTGTAGATCGAATTAGGGAAAGGTGATATTTGATTGTATAAAATATTGGGATTTAGTCTATTTAGAGGGAAGAAAGCACAGGATTGAGACTTTTATGAGGAAAACACGATATTCTCTTTTCAAATTTTAAGTACTATATATAAGCATCCATATATTACCCTAAGGAACAGAAAAAGGAGAAACAAAAATACGGGGTTCAGTAGCAGCAACACCACAACAGAGAATAAAGATTTTGGGAACGTGAAATTCTTACTTTCTTCCAACAGTACTGTTATCAAATGAGGTAGGATACTATGTTCTTGCAATATTATAATTTCTTTTACGTAAATTATTTCATGAAATGCTAATTGGCCTACGGGTCCCAATGAAATGAAATGGAATGTGAGATCTCCTTCGGGTTTTCTCAAATGCTAGAGCTTTCGATTGATCTCCGATTGCTTTTGATGAAATGATGGTATGAAATATTATAAATTTATGTTTAAAGAATTATTGTATTGTTTTGGACGCACATATCCTACTGAATCAAATTACTCATTCCTTCAACGTTTAATATTTTCAGGTTAGATCGGTCAACGTGGATGATGGCTGTGCGGTGTGCGAGTTGCCAAGTAATAAATTTTCAAGGAAAGACATTTGACAATAAATTATGTTACGATGTTTTGCTTTCTTTAATTCTGTTAAATGTTTAGATTTCTTGACATTATGTTTGATTCAGTACTTAAGTGTTTATTTTAAATGGCGTTTGCTGCTTCAAATAAAATTGAGTTTCAAGTTTTTATTTAAATAATTCCGCATTATGAAGTGATATCGGTAACACCCCAGAGTTTAAGTCGATAAAATTTGGGGCGTTACACTTGGTGTCGGAGGCACAACCCTGCACAGCCATGTGTGGATCTAAACTTTCTCCGGCGTCGGAGGCGCAGCCATGTGGCGATCTGGACTTTTATTCGGTCCTGGCGCAGCGGAGTTCAGGCTCGGCGATCGTCGGAGGCGCAACCATGTGCCACGTCTTCGCTTCTCTCTATCTCTCTCCTCCATTCGCCATTTTCTTTACCAGCAGGAATGGCACACGACCGTCGACACCCTCTCGTGAGGCCGAATCTGAATTTGGGTGGTGGTGGTTGTGATGTGCGGTGGCGAGACAATGGTGATGGTTGTGATTTGAGGCAGGTTGGTAGATGTCGGTGGATCTGGCGACGGTGAGACATTGGTGATGGTGAGATGTTGGTGAGGTTGTGGGTTGGGTATTGTGGGTGTGCGTGCTGGCGTTGGGTGGTGTTTGACAGTGGCTCTGTTCGGTGGTGTTTGACAGTGGCTCTGTGCGTTGGGGAGGGTGTGGTGTTGGTTTTGAGATGTTGATGGTGCCGCTGGTGGAGGCAGTGGCGAAGTGGTGGTCACAAATAATTTGGATGTTTATGACTACTAATTTGGTCGGTGGTCGTTCATTTTGGTGTCTGTGACCTAGCTATTGAACTGTAACTTTAAAATTGATAATTTGTAACTAGAAAAATAATCCGTGACCAACAAATTTGAAAACGTGACCTGTGACATATAAATTTTTTGATCCGTGACCAATAAAATAATGTGTGACTTTAAAATTCGATAATATGTGACAATATAATTCGTGGTCAACCATTTTGTTATCTGTGACTAAAGATTGTATAATCTGTGACCGTGAAAAAAATTGTGACCAACTAATTTAGAAGTATGTGATCGTGTGACCTATAAAAATGTTGTGACCAAACTTAATATTAATAGGTCACATGTGTTTGTAGAGTCACGGTTTAAAAATATAGGTCACATTTACCGGAATAGTCGTCGGAACGGTCACCGGAATAGTCACCGGAATCGGAGTAGTCGCCGGAACGGTAGGGGTTGTGGAGGTGGGGTGGATTATATATATATATATATATATATAGAGGTATTAGATTCAAGTACCACCTCCACTTATTTAGAGAAAATTTCACCTGTATAATAAGATACAAATAGTTGCTTTATGGCAACGAGTCTAGGCCAAAGTCATGCACTAGTATACAAGATTATATATTTTCCTGCAGTTATTATTGAAGGCAAAAGTGCAGAAACAGTGAACCTAAAGGCTAAAAGATCATGGAGGTCAATTAACCTTTTTGCCATTTTCATCATCTTCTCCAGCCTTCAAGAACCGGAGAAACCAATAAGCAGAGGATTTTAGATGGCGCGTTAGCCCATTCTTGTAGTCCACATAAATCAGACCAAAGCGCTTGGTATATCCTAACTGCCACTCAAAGTTGTCGATTAAGGACCATGCAAAATAACCCCTTACATTTGCTCCATCCCTGTCCACGAATTCCAGAGAGAGAACTTTACTAGTCGACCTAGAAGATTGACATTCCCAGACATGCAAAAGGGACATCACTAGTATAAACTCTATAGTAGATATCTGAATCCACACAATATCCGTGTTTTTTAAATTGTAAATGTAAATGGAGGAAAATGTGCTCGATCATGTACCAATGATTTGATTTCACATGTGGCACTGGGTAAAAATGCACGACAAGTTTCATTCATACTAGGTAAAATTATGAGCAATTGCTTTCCCTTTGAAACCACTTGCTTTCTAGCCAAAACAGGCAGCACATTAGTTGAGTGACGTCGTGAGGAACAAACAAATAATAGTTGTCAGTGTGCTCGAAATCAATTGAAAAATGAGGTAATAGTACAAAGGCAAGTGGAAAACTCGGAAGAAACATTGAGAGTAAACACATGACATCAATCATTTGAAGATCTTTTTCAAAGAAAGGATATGGATTGTCATGCACATCAAGTCTCATCCCACACAATTAACATGCACAAGGAGCTAAAAAAATATGTGAAACTTGAATGCAAGGAAAGTGACAGTTACATACTCAATTGCCTGATGCACAGCAGCGAGGTAACCCTTGTAGTAAGAAACTCGCAATTTGTCATCGAGCATCTCATGTAATGGAGATGTGCCACTCTCTTCATCATCCATACCTGCGAAAGAGGGTTTAAAGGTTTAAAAGAGTTGACTAAAATTCATCTATTTGATACCACCATAAAGAAGTCTACACGGGACTCAGCTGAATAACAACGTTTTCTTACCTTTAGTTAATTGATTTTTGAACTTATGGCTATTTGAAAGCATACATAATGTTCCCTATTCATTGGGTGAATTGCAACTCCACACCCTTTATTCAAAAATGAAAACCTTGTTGACCATGTAACATCACAACATTTTTCATATAAAATTCTTGTGTAAAAAATAGAAATTATGAAAATTTTCACGGATACAGAGGTCCTTTAACACACAACGTTAGACCAAGAAACCAAATTAAACGAAGGAAATAATCGACTGGAGTTAGTAAAATGAAGGTATTGCAAGGTTATTTTAAACCAATGGGGAAAATCAAAGGACTTCAAAACTATTGTGTATGTCTGTGCGTGTTGGGGGTGGCAGTGAGTTGGCAATTTTACATTTTGCCTTTTTTCTCCATAGTACATTGCATCCTTTTTTCCTCTTCAAGTCGAAGGGCAGTGGTTATCTAGTTACGTTTCCAGTTTCCTTGTTTCTAAAGCATCATAAATTTTTCAATGATACAGGGGTAAACCTCCTTACTTGCATAAACTACTCAAGATGCCTGGTGCATATGTAAGAAAGATTGATCTGTTGAGTTGAAGCAATTTCCCTAGTATAAAGGTGCGTGGAAGCTAGTGGAGAAAAGCAATAAAAAAAAATGGAACTTTTCCCTCCTTTATTAATGGACTCAGGCCATACCATTTTCAGTTATGTATATTGCGGGATGGTTGTATCTCGAAGTAATGTAATTGAGAACTTTCCAAATGCCCCAAGGAACTACGTAAAGCCAAGACGATGCTGCCTGCATATAGTATTTACTATGAGTCTGGCATTATTCTGGCATCAGTCCAAAGATATTCAAAATGAAGCCCGTGTAAGAAATAAACTGAAAAGAGATAATCCTACCTTCTCACCAATCATCTCCCCACTTTTCCATTCAGCTATGACAAAATGGAATGCAGAAGTAAGAGAATTGACAACGAATCATTTAGCATATGTTTGGCAAGTGTTTATAAACGGTCAAAAAATGGGGTCAAATCAATTTTAATCCTCACATTTCATGGGATCCACACTACCCATTCACTGACCATTCATTTCTATCTATTTATAAACAAAACCATTTGTAAACACTTCCAAAACAAGCTCTTAGACAATCTTCCAAGTAACATATCATGAAAAGCAAGTCAAAAGGATTTTTATATACCAATTCTTTCCACCTCCTGGGCTCTATAGAAATCATTGCGTTCAACATTATCTTCCGCATGACCAACAAATCTTGTTGTGTAATGGTTTAGGCCAACGAAGTCTATAGAGCTCTTAAGCAACTGTCTGTCTTTCTGGGAAAACTTTGGAAGGCAATCTCCGAGTCTTTCGCGCATTGTTTCAGGATAATCTCCATAATAGATTGGATCCAGGTACCTGCATCAGAAATATAATTGAAGAATGAGAGCAACAAGTCAATTATTTTGACACCTATTTCAGAATGATGCCAAAAAAATGACTTAATAAGTCCCAGCATAAACAAGAACGTTATTGCTAGATAGAGTCCTTTCTAGTTGAATCCCCACTGTACAGCCAACCTTTGGCATTATTGATATAAACTGCCTTCCCTCAAATTCGGACCCCCCATGACCTTGGAGTTGACAGTCCAAGCATTTTTCCATGGCAGTATGAAACATTCACTTGTCATCTCTCTATTTACTTTACCAGAGTATAATGAGAATATAATTGGTAATAGTGCAGAAAATGCAGTTTTAGTCAAAGTTAAAGTTGATGTTTAAGTCACTTGTAAAGTGATTGCTGAACATCTGGTTGCTTAGATTTCCATTTGCGGCACAAAAATCTGAGACCAACATCAGAGTGAGAGGAAAATGTTGTAAATCTTTCCAGTACCATATGTCAAAATATTAACCAGCCGGGTGTTTAGCAGGGATTAACCAAAGTCAATGTTTTCCCTTTCTGCATGATCAAACAACACTGCCACATTACTATAGATTGATGCCACATAATTCCTATAGTAGCCAATACAGGTGAGTTTATGCAATTCTTTCAAACATACTGTGAAAGATATGAAATTATCAAATAGTTCACATTTGCAAAAGTTCAAAGGTTATATACATTTTTGAGCTAGATAAAATCCAAGCTGCAAAATATCTAGAGCATCCTGCAGTGCCTATCTAGCTAGAGTAACAATCTTATCGTTTTAATTACACAGGATTGTATTCTTGAAGTAAGAGAAATACCCAAAAAGAAATAATTAAATTGGAAAAGTACCATCCAAGCTGAAAATCAAGACACCTTGCTGCAGCATTCCTATCCTCTAGTTTATCTGATAAAGCCTCAGACCATTCACAATCCACTACTAAGCCTATTTGTCCTCCTTGCTTATTCTGTAAAGGAATATCACCAAAAATATCAACAAAATATTGATGCCACTACATTATTTGGTTACTATATTCATATTTAAGCTGTAGACTAAATCTAATGTGAACATGAGGCATTGATGTGACGTAAAATTTGGACTACAATAACTTCTAAAAGCTTATAATATAATTAATAAGGTGCACTATCATGATTGAAATTCATGGAGAATCAAGACCATTAAACAGTACTAAGAAATCTTTTTCCATTACTCATACCGTATATGGAGGGAGAGTCATAATGCAATGAATGTATCATATAATAGTAGAAATATAAACTTATTTGTCTGTGAATCATTGCTCCAATTTCAAATTGTGTACAATGTTTGCAACATTAGTTATATGACATGATTCTGTCTAATTGTGTGAGAAATATATATGTAGAAAGAGAGCTACAGAAGTCTGATAGTGTCATGCATCACCTGAAGGATACATCAAGGAAGAAGTGGAAAAGTTAAATATGTAAACTCAGGATAGGAGAAATCAAAATCTTAGATCTGTTTAGTTTGAAAATGAAAAGGGAAATTGAATGTTAGATCTTGCACAGTAGCAGGGTAAATGACAATTTCTCTGTTATAACAGCCTTACTATATTACCCTTTATCCGTGGATTGTTTGTCACCTTGTACATCAGGAGTAAGAACCATTGAGAGGTTGAAACCTAGTATTGACTGGGAAGGAAAACTATGTAATGATACATCTTATCCGATCAACTATAATCACTACGACTACGAGATCGTGACTAGGAATTTACAAATCAATCCATGTGGAGAAAGTTCCAATGAATCTGTAGATTCTGTTAGTGGATTGTCATAAGCATCATGCCAATACACTTATGAAAATAATTGATGATGTCAGAAGGAATGGGATTATGACACCTAGCACGCATAAAAATTTAATTTGAGCTACATGCTCATACTAAGTGTCCTATACACGTTTAACTATTCTATCTTGGCCTCAGTATATAAGTGGTATACCTTGAATTTCTGGTTGTAGATAGAAACAGCTTCAGCATGTGCCAGGAGCTGGTGATGAGCAGCCAAGTATGGTTCATTTGATGAATGTTCCCGTCTTCCAGGGGCATATATGCCAGTACAGTACCCATTCACTGAAGTTTGAAAGGGTCCATTAATTGTTATCCACTTCTTCACTCTATCGCCAAAACTAGAGAAGCAAGTTTCTGCATATATACCAAAGTATTTCCTAGATGTTTGGCACAAGTGAAACAAAATATCATCACTGACTGGATATAGGGATCAATTGCGTTTAAAATGTTGATATTAATAAGACTGCATGTCCCTTAAACAAAAAACGCTTTCTAATGTAAGACTTCAGACCTTTTTCGTACTGTCCATTTTTGCCTCTATAAACAAACACAAAATTACATGTGGCTATTTATGTCATCTTTTTAAAGGGTTAATTACACCAAAGGTCACTGAAATTTTGACTAGTTACGTCAACGGTCACTAAAGTTATTTTTTTATGGTAATACTCACTCAACCTTCTAGTCATTACACTAATGGTCAGTCAGTCGAAAAAAATTAATATTAAATCCTAAGTGTCACCAAATAACATTATTTATTACCTCAAGTTAGCAAAAAACGTTGTTAAAACAAAACATGGTGGTAAACTGCATGATATAAGCCAAAAAATCTGATCAAAACTGAAGCTGTATTACGTTTTCTTATTTAAATGTGTTTAATCCTCAATTCCTAACTCCCTAAGTTTGCCGACTTGGCGTAATATATAACACCTTTTATCAGTAAGTGCCACGTAAAATTAAATATTAATTTTTGCATGAGTGATCATTAGCGTATCAGTTAAAAACTTGAGAGACTATTACCGTTAAAAAAAAAAAAAATTAGTGACCCTTTTTTACTTTAGTGAACCTTAGCACAATTACTTGAAACTTCAGTGACATTTGGCGTAATTAACCCTCTTTTTAGACGTTCAGTTTAGTATTTTATCTGTTCTTCACGGTACTCTCTACAAGAACATATTCACTTTTTTTGTCATTTAGAGAATGACAATAGTTGGTGCCCTTAAAAAATCTGATTAAACTTTAAGTCAAAGTCAACAAATAATTTTAACCACACCTTTCATAGGACACACAACTTTTCAACCACACAATTTATCAACTTTTATCAAAATCTGTTAAAAATCTGATTTTAATCTCTACCAAACATAGGCTAGATCACATTAGTAGAAATTGGTGATATGATAAAATCGCAACAAACTAAAATGTATCTTTATTTCAATCTAATCCATCCCTTTTTAACATTAGAGGTGGGTTATGGATTTAGAATCATAGTTACAACAATGTAATATGATAACAAATTGGTATGCCATAACAATTTCTTTTAATATCTTCCAGTTGATCTTTTATATCACTTTTTGAGGGATAAATAAATAATATGGAGAGTGATCCAAATTCAGCTAAACATTAGAATATCAATGCATCAGCACTCTTTATCTATCACTTTTATGAGAAATTACTTTGCAAATATCTCTCAACTTATCAAAATACATCTCCTACAATTAAAGGTCATTTAAAAGTCCCCGCATTGTGCATTTTTCTTTTATACGATAAGAGAATAAAAGGGTGTTCTTATTCTTCAGAGTACATTGACAATGCAATCAAAAGTAATCTACATTTAGCAAACAAGAACCTTCAGCAAGTGACAAAGATCATTCCCATTACCGATTATTATATACCATTACGCATGAAACATGCTTCACTTCATTTTCACATTTTCTAGTGAACATACACACTCGGAGAAGAAAAATGCATGACTCCTCAGAGATTTTTCCTTGAAACATACATTGGAAATAGCACTTCGCAAAATAAAAATAAAATAAAATAAAAGGGAACAAGAAAGAGGTTGATACAGCTAAACATGAAACATGCCTTATTCAACTCAAAGTCCATAAAATTGCTACGCAATAAAGAGAGCTGATGGTAGGCCATCTATTTTTATCAGATTGGAATACCATTTCATATATAACTTGTTCCTAATCACAGAGTCACACAAAAACCTGCATGCCTGACTAAACAGAAGAAAATATCAGACAGAATGACTCACTTTGTTGATCTTAGTTTAGCGATTTCCCCATAAAAGGACAAATTTAAAGCATAATACTTACACAATTTCTTCATTCAACCAGCCTCCAGTCAACTCAAGAAGATTTAAGGGAAGATCCCAATGGTACAATGTTACGAAAGGCTCAATACCTGAGATGGAACAATCAGTTACCTGTCAAATTGCACTTGAAAATAGATGAAATAAAAAATAAAAATCATGAGATCATACCTTTGTCAATTATTGTGTTGATGACGTTGTCATAATGCTTTATCCCTTCAGTATTAATTTTGGTGCCCAAACCATCTGCATATATGGTGGAAGCCAACTGCAGTTATAATTCCTCATTGAATTACTGTGTCGGAGCGAAAATGATGCCAAAAAGGACTAGGTTGTAAAAATCTTCCCAAACACAAACATATTAAAAGATTTACTGTTACTTTTATGAAAGAATAGGTAAAGAAAGACGAGTGAAATTTCTGTGGCCCATGGTCACCAATTTCCTTCATATACAAAGCATGGCATGGAAGTGTAAATGCCCAAGATTTCCGGACCACAAAGACAAGTTTTAATAGTAAATAAAAAATCTCTCCTCTTTGTCTACGCCCGTTCCCGTCTGTGATCTATTGGCCCTTTTGTTTCGATGTGTATTCCTATAATATGAGGGGAAAAAAAAATCACAGAGCAGCATCAAACCCAAATTATATGATTTCCATGGCCAAGATAATATACATCACAACTCGGTTCACTACCTCCTAGTAAGCAGTCTTAGGAGAATAGATCAAATTTAAAATCGATTTCATCCTCTGTTGACACAAAATTGACACTGGATGCAAAAAGTAATAGCTTGAACATCATAGAAAACAAAAATTTTACCAGGAAAAATCCGACTCCAGGATATGGAAAAGCGGTAAGCTTTAAATCCCATTTTGGCTACCAGCTCAATATCTTCCTGTGTTTTAAGAAAGATCTTGCAAATAACTATATGGGAGTTGATTCATGAATAAATGCAAGGAGACACAATAATGTTGCTTGATTTAAACCACATCCACAACCAAAGGTTAAATAATGTCCACTGATTACAAACTAACTTAGATTGTATTAAAAGAAGAATAAATCAGAACAGACACCTTGTAACGATGATATTGATCCACAGCTATCTCTGCATTGCTCCCATCACGGATATTGCCTAAAAAGGAACACGAAAGAGAAAAGGGGATTGATACCAAAAAAAAAAAAAAATAATAAACTTAAAAACTAAGCACTCTTAGAGAAAATTTTCTGAGAAAATTAAATAAATAGGCCATGGTATTAGAAGTGATCGAGAAAAAAAAATAGGCTATACCAGGAGCGCGAGAGAAAACATCCCACATACTAGGACCCCTACCACCCTCATTCCAAGCTCCTTCAACCTGCAATATCAACAAAAGCTTTCATGGGATTTTACTGGTGGAAGTTTCACTATTTTCCTATCTAGGCTCTTGACTTACAAACACAAAGTATTTGAATTCATAGAAAAACATCAACATAATATTCCTATCATGGCTTGACTTGTACGATCAAACAAATATACACCAGAGTGCCATAACATTTTATATCAATTCCTTTAGTTTTTATTAGAGCTCAAGCTCAGCTGAGCCCCAGCCAAGCCAGCAAATCAGTAATCTTAGTTTGGCTCCATTTTATGGAATCTGGTTAGTTAGAAGTTAGTTAGTTAGTTAGTTGATCTACAGCTGTATTCATTAGTTAGTTAGTTGACTCATTTTCCATTGTATTTATATAACAAACAAGTATCACCAATGTAATTAATTCTTTTCGGTATCTTCCTCAATGAATAAGAGAATTATCTTTCTTCTCTAATATGATATCAGAGCATTAATCTGTTTTTCTTCCTCTCTTTTTCGACTGCGAATTGATCAACCTATGGCTACAGATTTTCCGAATCAATCGACTCATATTTCTGCATCATCAGCCAGCAATTCCACGACCGATGATGGATCAAATCCTTTCTTTCTCCACCATTCAGACAACCCTGGATTGGTGCTTGTTTCACAACCCCTAACATGAGACAATTACTCTTCCTGGAGTCATTCTATGATCATTGCATTAAATGTGAAGAACAAATTGGGATTCGTTGATGGATCCATTGTGCCTCCAGAGAACGATGGATCCATTGTGCCTCCAAAGAACAATGGTGAATTGTTTAATGCTTAGATCCGAAACAACAATATGGTGATTTCATGGATCCTTAATTCGGTTTCAAAGGAGATATCGGCGAGTGTAATATACTCAGAATCAGCTCATGATATTTAGACTGATCTTTAGGAGAGATACCAGCAAAAGAATGGTCCACGTATATTCCAATTAAGGCGTGATCTGATGAACTTAACAGAGGGAGAATCATCTGTTAGTACTTTACAAAGTTGAAAACCATTTGGGATGAACTCAGTAGTTACAGGCCTTTATGTTCATGTGACAAATGTGTATGCGGAGGAAATAAAGGCCTTGCAGAACACTATCAGACAGAATATGTCATGTCTTTCCTGATGGGGCTACATGAATCATTTGCACAGATAAGAGGTCAGCTGTTATTAATAGATATAATTCCCTCAATTAACAAAGTATTTGCTTTTGTTGTGCAAGAGGATAACCAAAGAAAAGTAAATGTGAATGTGAATGCTGAAGTTCCTGGTGTCAATGACTCAATGGCTTTCTATATTGGAAATGAAGCTAGAAAGCCAAATGTAGGACAATCAAATAGCAGATTTCAAAAGAAAGAAAGCCATGTGTAGATACTGTGGATACACAAGTCATGACATTTTAAAATGCTATAAGTTACATGGTTTTCCCCCTAGGTATAAACCTAAGCAGAGAATTGGAGGAATGAATAATCAAACCAACTCAAGTGGTCGAGCTGATCAAGCCAACTGTGCTATAGCTAGATTGGTAACTGAACCAGTTCATACTGCAGATCAATCAAAGGGTGGAGTTGGGAATTTTATGCAGACTTTGAATCCAACTCAATACCAACAATTGCTAAGTATGTTGAACAATCATCTCACTATAGCCAAGGTTGAAACACAACAGGAAAGCACTTCTAATCATATGGCAGGTACATGTCTTTCCATTTCTTTCGATTCAATAATCAATTCACCAACGGTTTGGGTGATTGATTCTGGAGCCATCAGCCATATCTTTTCAAATCAAAGCTTTTGACACATTAAGAGAAGTTTAGAGCTCATTTATTACTCTACCTAATCATGATAATATTCCTGTTCAATTTATTGGAAATGTGAAGATATCAACTGAACTCATTCTTGAGGATGTCCTATTTGTGCCACAGTTCAGTTTTAACATGTTATCAGTAAGCTCTTTGACAAGAAAGTCTTCATTAAGTGTCAGTTTTTCTACAGATGTGTGTTATTCAGGTTCTACCAACTTTGAAGATAATTGGCAAGGGTAAAAGGGCTGGAGATCTTTATATAATTGATGCTAACTCCTTTAATTCAATTCACAATAATGTTGTTAGTTCAAAGGAGTCCTGTAATTCAATTCGTTCCCTTCATGTTTCACCTGGATCAGGTCATGTTATAGACTGTAATTTATTGGAAAATAATGTAACCAATGATGTTTGGCATCACAGACTTGGGCATTTGTCATTTAAGAAATTTGGTTTGTTAAAGGACTTATTGAAATTTGATGAAAGAAGGAAAAGACCTTTTATTCCCTGCCATGCATGTCCATTAACAAAACAGAGAAGGCTCTCGTTTATTTCTAACAATCACCTATCCAAAGCTACATTTGATCTAGTTCATTGTGACGTTTGAGGACCCTACAATGTGACTTTACATGCTGGTTACAAGTATTTTTTGACGTTGGTCGATGATTGCACCAGATTCACATGGATATATTTGATGAAACAAAAATCAGATGTTGTCTTTATCATTCCTAGATTTTTCTCCCTCATAGAAACTCAATTCAACAAGGTGATAAAATGTTTCAGATCTGATAATGCTAAGGAATTGAAATTCACAGAATTCTTTAATGCTAAAGGGCTGATACACCAATACTCATTCGTGGAAAGGCCAGAACAAAATTCTGTTGTTGAGAGGAAGCACCAACATCTGCTAAACGTTGCTCGAGCACTATATTTCCAGTCCAGAGTTCCTATTTCATTCTAGGGAGATTGTATTCTAACAGCCACCTATCTCATAAACAAGACTCTATCACCAATGCTTCAAAATAAAACCCCATATGTATGTCTATACAATACTTCAGTAGACTATAGTCACCTAAAAACATTTGGCAACCTTTATTTTGCCTCCATTCTATCTTCCGACAGAACTACATTTCATCCAAGAGCTAAGACTTGCGTGTTCATTGGCTATCCTCCTGCCATTAAAAGGTATAGAGTATATGACATAGCTACTAAATCCATTTTCATTTCCAGAGATGTGGTCTTTCATGAACACATCTTTCCATTCCAACCCATCTTATCACCCACTGATGATATAGATCCCTTCCCAGATGTTGTGCTGCTAAATCCTATTCAGAACCTGTACCTAAATCACCCTAATACCTCACTTTAGGATACTTTTGATGATGTATCTCATGACATTGCTCCAGACAGCAATATTCACCCTACATCTCACTCAAATCAATCTCCTCTTGTAACTGACTCTAGTATCATTCACACTTTAGATCATGAAATTCCTCATGTCTTGAACTCATATCAACCTTCGGCATACATTCATAGAAAAGGAAACAGAATAAGAAAAACTCCTTATCTTCATGACTATCATTGCAACCTTCTGACCAACACCTCTTCTCCTCGGACTGATTTCTTATATCCTTTAAGTGAATCATTACCCTACAAAGCTTTTTCTACTTCTCATAACTCTCTTCTCCTCAATATATCCTCTACCTTTGAACCCCAATTCTATCACCAAGCAGCCAAATATGAACACCAAAAAAAGGCTATGGCTGATAAGTTGGCAGCTATGGAAGCCAACCATACCTGGTCTATTGATGCTCTGCCAAAAGACAAGCATTCCATAGGATGTCGATGGGTATACAACATCAAGTTCACCTCAGATGGCAGTATAGACCCGTATAAAGCCCGGTTAGTTGCAAAAGGTTACACTCAACATGAGGGATTGGATTTTCATGAAATCTTTTCTCCAGTGGCGAAGCTGGTTACTGTCAAAACACTTCTTGCTGTTGCAACAGTCCAGAAATGGCATATGGTGCAATTAGATGTAAATAATCTCTTTCTTAACGGTGATTTATTTGAGGAAATTTACATGGATTTGCCTTTAGGGCATCCTAAACATCATGCTATTGGACCTCAGCGGGAAAAGTTGGTATGTAGATTGCATAAATCAATTTATGGCCTAAAGCAAGCCAGCTTCCTTTATTGCTTTATTGGTTTATGTTGATGATATAATCATCACTGGATCAGAAACTAAGATAATTGATTCATTAAAGAGCTTTCTGCATAATCAGTTCAAATTGAACGATCTTGGTAAGCTAAAGTATTTCCTTGGCTTGGAGATTGCAAGATCACAGCAGGGTATTTTTCTTTCTAGGAGGCACTACACCTTGCAATTACTTGAGGATAATGGTTTTTTAGCTTGTAAGCCAGCTTATTGCCAATGGATCCCAAGCTCAAGCTCAGCTCCTTTGAAGGGGAAAATACTTGATGATGCATCCTTATATCATCGACTTGTTGGTTGATTATTATACTTGACTGTATCACGTCCAGACATCACGTTTGCTGTACACAAATTGAGTCAGTTTGTATCTCAACCTTACCAGCCTCACTTGGATGCTGTACATCATCTCTTGAGATACATAAAGGCAGCTCCAGGACAAAGCTTACTCTTTGATGCTTCTTCTTCTTTCCAAATCCGTGCATTTGCAGATGCTGATGGGGGTCATGTCCTGATTCTAGAAAATCTATCACTGGTTTTTGTGTTTTTCTTGGCAACTCTTTAATCAGTTGGAAGTCTAAAAAGCAAACAACCGTCTCTAGATCTTCCGCAGAGGCAGAGTACCGTGCCTTAGCCTCAATTGCGTGTGAGATTGTGTGGATTCATCAGCTTCTTATTGATTTGCAAGTCAACATTTCCCTCCCCACTCTGATTTTTTGTGACAATCAAGCAGCCATTCACATTGCAAATAATCCAATCTTTCATGAACGAACAAAACATATCAAGATCGATTGCCACTTTGTTCAAGACTAGGTTAATGATGGTTTTATCAAATTATTGCCGATTTGTACTCAACATCAGCTAGCTGATATATTCACCAAACCGTTGCAGTCATCTCTCCTCTTTCCTCTTTTGTCCAAGATGGCTATACTCAATCTACATAGTCCATCTTGAGGGGGAGTATTAGAGCTCAAGCTCAGCTCAACCACAGCCAAGCCAGCAAATCAGCAATCTTACTTTGGCTCCATTTTATGGAATCTAGTTAGTTAGAAGTTCGTTAGTTAGTTGATCTACAGCTGTATTCATTAGTTAGTTAGTTGGCTCAGTTTCCATTGTATTTATATAACAAACGAGTATCACCAATGTAATTAATTCTTTTCGGTATCTTCCTCAATGAATAAGAGAATTATCTTTCTTCTCTAATATTTTTCTAGAAAAATCCTGAAGTAATTAATTGCAGCACAAAATTTAACAAATCCAAAATTTCCAGCTACCTGGAAAGCAGAAGTGGCGGGTCCAAAGATGAAATGGGGTGGGAAGTCAAGTCGGCTGAGAGAGTTTTTGGAGGCATAAATTGAACTCCATTCTTGCTCTATTGATCTCTTCTTATCCAGACCCTTGATTGTGTTCGACTTTGTCCCCATTTTGATTTCGATTTCTTCACACTGGATAAGAAATTGACGGAGAGACTGTTGTAAGAGTGAAGAGAAATGCACCTTTATCCGTTTGGCCCCATTATTCCCGTTATAATCAGGAACAGTAATTTTTTCAATAACGTGTGATTAAAAAAAGAAAAGAAAACAAAAAGTTTTTGTAAATTTACCCCTAATATTATTTTATTGAAAAATGTATCGTTGATAGGAAGAGGGAAAAATGAATTATAATTTAATTGAAAATTTTTGGATAAGCTTAAGGAGTTTACCATAAGTATGTTTTACAATAAATAAGTTTTCGTCGCTTAAAAATTAAAAATAAGTTAATTATTTTAATAAAAACTTTTAGAAGTAAGAAAAAATTAAATTCAACACGTTAAAAATAAAAAGTTACAAAAAGAAACAATACCAAAATCAACAATCGTCTATAATTTGAACTCATCCCAAAGTAGCAAGCTTTGTTACTTGATTCATGCTCCATTGTTAGAGAAAATTGTCATGTTCATTGACAGAATGTCTCATAGACTGTTTAAAAAATGAGTAACGTTATTCATCTCCAGTGGAGATGAAAATACAGTATATGTCGCTTTAAATGATAGATTAAATTAAAAGTGAAATTAAATGATTTATTTAATTTCACATATCATTTAATGCCACATTAACGCTACGTAAACTGTGTTTTCATCCCCAATGGAGATGAATAGCATTACTCTTAAAAAATAGTCAAATTTTGCATCCAATTATCTATTGCCACAATTGTATTCGTCAAATAGGTGGGCAATAATTTCTAGTAAAGTGGCTTAACTCTCGAAAGGATCCTTTCATATCGCTCAGCCTTCTTAGGAAAGTGCATCTTTAAGAGTTTGACAAAGTGTATCAATATAAGTAATTTTATAGAGAAAATTACACCTAAACCTGGTTTTAGAATATCGTTTTCATAAATCACGAATCAAGTTTAACATTGCAAAAATCAGGTTTTAATTAATAATTTAAAAACATTTTTCTAATTTTAATTTTATATCTATATATACAATATACATTAATTTATATACACTCCCCTACCCTATCTAACCCAACCAAACCCTAAAATACCCATCTCCTCTCCACTCTCATCTCTTCTCCCGTCTCTTAACGCCGTTGTCGCCACGACGTCGACTTCTTCCCCTCATCTCCCTCTCTCATCTTCACTCACCCTTTCGCTCCTCTCCACTCTCATCTTTTCTCCCGTATCTTAACGCCGCCGCCCTTTCACACACACCAATCTATTCTGATGCATCATCTCACGCCTCCTTCGACAACCGGCAGTGACAGCACCGCACGGGCCAGGCGTAGCGTCGCCATCTATTGTTGCACGAAGCCGTGGCGTCGCTGCAATGTGTGTACGTCGTTACTGCTTCGTTTGCAACGACGTCGCGCTTCTCACAACGGTGATGATGCACTTCGAATTCTTTTCATTTTCTCTTCATCTATTTTCTCTTCATCTGTTGTGTTGATAGTTGTGGTAGAGGTGAAGAAGATGATGGATTTGAGGAGGTGGTGGTAGTGGAAGTGGTGATTTGTGGATACAGGCTGGGATAATGGTGCGGAGGGGATAATGGTTGTGGATTTGGGGATTTTTTTGTACGGTGGTGGTGCCGCTGGTGGAGTTAGTGGCGAAGTAGTGGTCACAAATGATTTGGTGATAGTCACAAAATGATTTGGTCAATTGTGTGACAAATAAATAATATGTGATCAATGAATTAGATAAACTGTGACCAATACATGGTGTGTGACCTAAAAATTGTGACATAAATATAATTTATATTCAATTAATTAGATAAACTGAGACCAATACATGGTGTGTGACCTAAAAATAGTGACATAAATATTATTTATATTCAATTATTGTGATGTTTGTGATCATAAAATAATTAGTGTGACTTGTTAATTTTGTGATTTGTGATCGATGAACGAATTGTGATTTTTAAATTTTTAATTTGTGACCGATGAACAAATTGCGACCTATGAAAATTTTGAATTGTGACCAAATTGTATAGATATGTGACCTTAATATATGGGTAATTAGTAGAAATGGTCCCTATCGTTTTAAAATTGACATTTGTACCCTTATTTCAAACGTTTCTTGCGGAATTGGTCATTCCATCCATAAACCGTTAAACATCCGTTAGAATCTTTTGGTAATTTGCAAAAATGG